TATCATCCACATTTTTAAAGCACAGTATATTTTTATACTGTAGAAACATATAGATTTAGAATAATAATTTTTATAAAAGTCAAAATATGATATAAACATACAACCCTCTAGAGAGTGAATTAATGAAAGTTCAATGGTTATGTAGAAATGATCTACAGCTACTTAATGACTGGATAAGTCAGCAGTTTCTGTGGACAAGTAAGAATAATTATATAAACGCATCCAACATTCTGGATTCAATTAACAAACGAGCATACGATGTTTATTAAATGAATTTAAGAAGTTTTAAAGCATAAAAAATCAACTCATTTTTTATCCTAAAATGTATTTTGTGCGTAGCGTATTTTCAAATCCTATCCTTAAAATTCTAATTTAGAATGTAATTGTCAAGAACTGAATCCCAATCATCAGTAATATAATAAGTAATTTACGGTTATTAATAAATCCTTCTTATAAAGTAATTGCAATATTTCAAAAAACTTTCTGGGAATGCAATATTTTTCTATGCAAAATTTTTAATTTTATATTAATCAAGATTTGCACACGATATTATTTATTTGCCTTCAATTTTTACCGTCAGCTCTAGTAGAAGTTACAAATCAATTATATTAATTAAGGATTGGATTGGATTATTTAATTATGGCAAAGCACACGAGGGCTATCTGCCTAAAGGGAGGGATGCCTTCGTGGAGGACTTTCTAAGCGAAACTGGCTCGTATACACGTTACACATGGGGAAAACCACGAAAACGTCCACGCAGCCAGCCCGTTCGCAGGATTCGAACCTCGGACCGAACTACCAGTGTTCAGCATCTTTACCGCTCTGCTGCTGGTGGTGCTACATATAAATCTAATATACATCCTAAGTTGCACTTTCGAGACATGAAGAACGCAGTTTGAATTTTGTCAATCGACCCAGTAGAACAGGAGATATAGCACTGTCCCATTTTTTCTTTTGAGCAGTTTACAATACTTAATATAAAGTTCCAATAAGTCAGTGAGCTACCAGAGATGATACATTGTTTTGTATTTTTTTAAGTATTATTAGTTGTAAGGAATAAATTTTCACATTAATTCTTACATTTTTATGTTTTATCTTGCATATACAATAGGTTATGGAAAGGAGATAACTAACCTACCCTAGCATGTAGAGATAACTTCTAAGGGTGAGCAGTTAGTTACAAATAATTAAATTATGCATTTGGAACTCTTAGTCATAATAGATTTACATGGTTACAATTACATTTTTTTATTTCTAAAAAATGGCCATTAAAAAGCACTAAGAACATTTTGTAACAGTTATAATTTATGATAATGTTTCTAAAATGATATTAGTATAACTATACATTAAAACCTACAAAAAATTTGTTTTGTAGCAACAATATGTTTATTACTTGAAAATTTTTCAGACCTTATAGCTAATTTATATCAAATTCCTTCTCTTTCGCATCTTTTATAAGTTTATTTGTTTCAATAAACAAATAAATCTTCCCACTAGTCTCTGCTTCATCTCCTAATTTCTTAAAATTTTAAAATTCTTTGAAGAATAATTTTCTCGCATTATGAAACCAATTTCTTTTTCAATGAATTTCCTCTTCATTTGTGCACTTTTATTTCTTATACAATGAGGAAATACAAATTTTCCAACACATTTTCAAAAAACCTATTGTTTTTTTAAATATCACCAGTTTTGCATTTGTAACCTTAATTTTAGAAAGCATATTATGAAGCAAAATATTTGAAGATACAATAAAAACAAATCTCAAGTATCAGTCTTAAGTGTCTTAAATAAGTATTTTGGTTTTAAATATTTAATCTGAAAATATCAGTTTTTTCCCCTTTTGGTAGTTAACGTTATCACTATCTTGCTCAGAAGTGTGCACTCTTTTGTCAGCAAGTAATCACAAAAGAAATGAGTACAGTACAATATCTGAAATCCAAACATTCAATATCTGGACTTCCAGATTAACAGCAAAATACTTGTTTTTTCTTAAAAAGTCTACAAATTGAGAATACTTAGAAAAGAGAGAGAGAGAAAAGCAGGTGATCTATAAAAATAATTTTTTTCCCAATTAAATGTATTCCTGTATCATTTTCAAACACCTCTTGGCTAGTGAATTCTGCCGTGACCGGTGACAATACATTGATTGGTGATGATCACAAACAGGCTTTTGACCCTTGAATGGTTCTCTAAGATTAGCATTTTTCTAACTGACCTCAATAATAAACAAAGCCTGCAAAACATATTCGTTTGAAGTGGGATGTTGTATACATTGTTTTCATTTTGTTAGCAAAGCAATGAATAAGGCAGAAAGAACTAGGATTCCAAGCAATTTCAGTTAATAAAGAAAATTGCTCCCTTCCTTAATCCAGCTTATTACTTTTTTACAGGTTAATATCTTACTATTATCCTATTAAAATTAAAGTTTGATCTTTTGATTGTGTTGAAAAGAGTTCCTAATTCTGGAGGTGCAGTAGGATCTGCAAAGGGAAAACATGTTTCGATATCAATTAAACAAAAAGTGAAATTTCTTCAAAAAAATGGATTAAGTCATATCCAGCTTGAAATTATGCAAGGAATATGGCATTAGAAAGTCAACCATATATGACATTATTTAAAAGAAAAGAAAAGAAAAAGAAGCTTTCTGAATTTTTCGTGAATTTTGGCAGCCCACTGAGAGAGAGGAAAAATCATTTGTTATGCTAAGAGTGATAATTAAATGGGTGAGAAACTGTTATAGTGCAGGTATGCCATTGGTGTTTCCCATGCTTAAACCAAAATATGTCATGAGTAAATGGACTAAAAAAACATAGTGCATTTATTTAACAGACTTGTTGACCAAATTTAAAAATTTCTATTACTATAAGGTAGTTTAAAATTCAGGATAAAAAAAGCTTCAGCTGATACTGAAGCAGTTGAACAATTTGGAGAGGAATTCATCAAACTCATTAATAGTGAAAAGCTATCTCTAGAATAAATTTATACTGATTGTGAAACTTTTATTTTCAGGCAATCTGCCCCAAAATATCTTGATGAACTCTACAGAAAAGGTCTCAAATGGTTGTTGAAGTAATGAATGAAATGTTGAAGTAATGAATAAATGTAAGCATTTTGTAATTGAAAGAAATATATTACTTCAGGCATTTAAAGAAGTAATGATTTTTTCCATCATCTATAATTTAAATAAAAACAGCATGGATGACATAAAAATTGATGAATAATTGGCTTGGTAATCGCGTTGCACCCAAGGCTCGGTTCTGAAATCGATGGGCTTGCCTGATGAAACAAAACTGTCCTGATTACAGATAACTATTTGGCTCATACTCACTTAAAGTTTTAATAAAGGATAATGTCATTTTCTTTTATCCACTTGTAAAATCATCATTAAGCCAATAGATATCGAAGTTCTATGCATTCTGAAATATAATTATACATTGGCCTTTTTAATCAATGCTATGAATAAGACCATTTAGGAGTTTAAAAAATATTTTAATATAAAACCTGCTGGGTGGAGAATTGCAAGATTATGGAAGATGTGTCTGCAGATATTTAAAAAACTGCTTGGCAAAATTTATGCTACTTACTATATTTCATGGTGATGATAGACACAAATTTGATAATTTTCAAATATCACAAGCAAAGGCCAAGATTTTTTGAATTATAGAAGTTCTGAAGAAATATGAAAGAGCGATAATAAACGAACATAATATAATAGAAGTTTTCCGTTTTGATGACAATTGTCCAATGATCATTCAACCAATAAACAGCAAAATTTATAAGAGGCAACAAAATTTAAATCCATGAATCTTCACTACCGACAAACAGGTAGGTTAAGAATTAAAGATTTCAACTGACAGTTTACAGGAAATTCTCGATACAGTAGTTACAAGACTTGAGCAATGGAACTTATTTTGTAACGGAAGAAGAAAATATTAGCCCCCCTCAAAAAGGGGGGGGGGAGGAAAAAAAGAAAGAAAGAAAAGCTTAAATAACTTACATTGAAAGAAATGTTAAAAAATGAACAGTGAGGTTTTTTCTTTTTTTCTTTTTTTAAATTTTGATTTACTTAAGGTCATAACAAATGCTTCATCATTTTATAAACTATTTCATATTTTTAATTTTATAATTTATTTCTAATAAAATTATGATTAAAAAATCTAAGAATTTCCATTGCAGTTCTGAAAAGGTCAGAGTAGACCAATATAAAGTCTGAGATTCGGAATCCTCGGGACTATAGTATTTCTGGATCTTAGAACTTGTACTCTATATCTAATTTCTAATTAAATAAAATAAATTCCTTTCTTTGAACTTAAACATGCTGTCTAATTACCTGATCTCACTTAACATTTTGTAATTTATTCATTTTTATATATCAAAAGCCTTGATAGTTTACAATAAAATTGCAATTAATATTCTCCAATTTTTTAACATAAAAATTATATTATGTAAGGTACACAAGCAAAAGCTTTCTCAGCAGTATATAGAATTTCATTTCCCTCGGTTTTCATAAGCTAGTCATAATCAAACGATAATAGAATTTAAATGATTTTTCTTTAAAAATTCAGATTTAGGCTCAAGATATCAAATAAGAATGGATTATTCTCATTAGCATGAAACTCAAACTTTAATAATTTTAATAAGGAGAAGGGGGAAAAAACTATAATTTATTACATAGTCTTCACTGTAAATACTTACAGCACTAAATTAGGGGATCTATACTACCCTTAAACAAAATATAAGACATGAATATTTAAGAAGGAAAAATAAAAAGAATTAAGAAAAGAAATTTTCAGTTTCAATCTGTATTTACCTAAAACAGCACAAATATGATAGAAAATATAACATAACACATGACTACAATCAAGGTTTAAAAAATGCTGTCAGTCTATTTACTGTTTCAAAAACAGATAACTCTAAAAGACTTTGTAATTAAAGATGATCTTTTATTTTTAATTTGCAGTTAAAAAAACAATTCAGTAAAATAACATTGAAATAGTTACCTTTTTTAACAACTCAGGTAATTCTTGTGACTTGTTTTTGTTTTTATGGTTTCCTCCTGCAGTTCTAGTACAAGACATAGCAATTGAACATTCAAAAATACGTCATATAAGACTTGAAATGCAAAATTAGTAAACAGAATTTGACAGCATATTAAAAATTAACATCAACAGATTTAAAAATCACAAATTTTAAAAACTGCATTTCAAAAATTTTCCTTTAGTCAATATCTAAGACATTAATGCAAATTAGCTACCAAATAATGAACATCAAATTAAAGTTGTCAGCATTAAAGAAGTAAATTTTCCAGCAACTAGGTGGATTCTCATGAAAAGTATGGAAATAGATTATGCAACAAATTCACCTCAACTTTAGCAACTGAAAAATTCAACATTACTGACAATAATACCATATTTTGTTAATCATTAAATCACATATTTATAATACATTACTTGACTTTTTATATGAAAATAATACTCGGACAATTTTTTAAAGTTCTACCATTTCTTACCATTTTACGCATTCTTTAAAAAATTAAAATAGCATATTCTGGTATCACTTTGAAAAATACATGTTTCCTTTAAGAATTATAATACTACAGTTTTTAACTCTATTTACCAGAAACATATTATACACTTATATATATATATAAAATAAATAATAGCTGGGCATTTGCTCAGGAGCAGTTTGTCAGGAATGGCAGCATCTATTGATTGTTTAATCATTTCATAGCTGAAATAATTGATAAATACTGTATCCATGAGAAGGAAAAGATGTTCAAAAACAACAAAGCCTTACATAGGAATTAAATCCACACCTTGAAATTGACATTAACGGACATACATCTTCATGCTTCTCAACAATCTCTTTTTTAACCTGCATGGTGATCCTAAACATTTTCTTCCTTGCTTAATGCATCTCATTTACTTGTTGTACATTAAACTCATTGTTGAAGAATTAAAAAAAAAAAAAAAAAAAAAAAAAAAAAAAAATGTGAAAAAAGCATGGGCTGCATTTTGGCCAGTTGCAGCAGCATACATGTTGACATGTAACATTCAAAAATCAGACTTTTTAAAGCCAACAGGAGAATTTTCGCAATGACAAAACAAATTTTTTAAATGATAAAAATATATAGAAAGAAAAATATTTTCATGTCATTAACTTGAAATAGTAACTATTATACGAGGTTCAGTTAAATTTTTAAGGAAAAACAGAAAAATAATAATGGAAAAAACTAATATTTGTACCTTTAAAGAAAAACAATACTTTTCTATAAAAGCCAGTTTTCCTGAATGATAGACAGGCTTCATTAGAGAGACTTCACAATTTTGTTCATAGCAATACCATGTAGAATGTTTGCTAATAAAAGGTTTCGAATGCATCATTACTAATTGGATCTAAATTGTCTTGTTGTACAACATTGAAATCCTTCGCACTCTGACATTACCTAGGGAATTGTAGAATGCCAACGTTATTCTGACCAGGGGTCGGCAACCTGTTTGTCCTTAAGGGCGCAATACTAAATTTGAAAATCACCGAGGGCGCATATTTTACAGATAATCAACAGGTATAAATAGGCATTAAAAAACAGATTTTTTATAACTTTATTTTGTTGGTGTCATACATAATGATACATATAATTCAGTGTGAAACTTAGGGTGTCGATATTTTCAGCTAATTTCTTATAATTGGGGATATATTTAGAGCTCCCGGTCCTTAAACAATTATCTAAATGTGCGTCATTAAGCTTTGTTCGGTATTTTGATTTCAAATATTTCATATCTGAGAACAAAGACTCGCAATTGTATGTTGTTGCACAATATGAATAAATGTTTAGTGCACATTTTCTTAAAATAGGATACTTATTTTCATCGACTAAGTTCCAAAACATTTTATCATTACTATGCGCTTTTAAAATAATATTACTTTGCAAGTTTATTATTTGTAATTCTAGGTCTTCGATATTATGAAACTCGAAATACACTGAAACTATTTCAAGGACATCATCTTTAGTAACATTGACTGGATTTATGAAAAATCTTAGAACGGTTCTAATGCTGCAAAATCTTCAATCTAGAAAAACTCTTCTATTAGCTTATCTATAATTTCTAAATATGATGTAGCAGTAAAATTTTCATTATTCAAATTTAAACACTCAACAATATATTTTATATTTGGGAAATGTGATAATGATTTTTTCAATAGATGTGATTTCAACAACACTAACTTGCATTTGAATGCATTTACTGCACTAATCATGTCAGCGATATGCTGATTTTTCCCTTGTATTTTTAAAATTTAATTCATTCAACTTTGCCGTTATATCTGTCAGAAATCCGAGGTCGATTAGCTAATCCTTAATTTTCTAATTGCTCGTAAAATTCGCCTCTTGATGCAATAAATTCCTTTATTTGTGGCAAAAGCATGATAAACCGCTCAAGTATTTTACCTCTGCTCAGCCACCTCACTTCAGTATGTAAAAGAAGATCTGTGAACTGAACGTCCTCATCTTCTAAAAGTAATTTAAACAATCTGTGTTGCATAGCTCCCGATCTTATGGAATTAATAATTTTTGTTACTATCGTAAATACGTGTTGAAAACCGATTGTTTTTGCGCATAACATTTCCTGATGTATGAGGCAATGATAAGAAATAAATTTCGGGAATAAGGAATCCTGTCTACATAAGGCAATAAATCCTTTTTTCTTACCAGTCAATCGCTGGTGCCCCGTCTGTTGTAATTGACGATAACTTTTGTACAGGTAATTTTACATCTGTTATATACTTTTTAAAAGTAGAAAAGATATCTTCTCCTCTGGTGCTTCCCTTTAATGGCAGAACTTTTAAGGAATTCTTCTTTTGTTGTAAAATCAGAAAATACCATCTCTCAAGCAAATTGCTAATTGTGATATATTTGTCACGTCTGCCGATTCATTCCAATCTGTAGCGAAAAGAAAATACAATTTTCCATATCATTTGCTAATTCTGCCTCCAAATTCTCCGCAATTACTTCAATTCTTCTAGTAACAGTTCGTGCTGATAATTGCAACGTGTTTATAGCTGAAACTATTTCCTTTTTATTTTTAAATTCTTCAAAAAAGTGAATCAGCAGCTTCTAACATGGCTTCTTTCACTAATTCTCCATCTGTAAATGGTTTTTTTATTCTTAGCTAGCAAATGCGATATTTTATATGACGCGATCGCAATCGTTGCTGCTTTATGTTGTTGCAGTGGTTTAAGTAAAAAAACTTTGCTGGTTAGTTATTGAAGATTTTAAAGAAATAATTTTTTTTTCTTCTAATTTCAGAGTTCATTGGATAGTCACTATCAAAATTGGTATGAACGGTCTTAAAATGTCGTTCAATATTATTTTTCTTAGGAATCGCAACACTATTATTACACAACAAATACACTTCCCTTTGCAATCAACGAAAGAATATAGATGTTCCCATTCATCGTTAAAATAATGTTCTTTTTCTTTTACATTTATCCATAAAGGGTTTTGAAAGAAAAGAATTATTTTGGATTACTTGGTAGTTTTAAATGCTCGGTCTACGCGTGGTCTATTCGAAATACGATCACACACTAACAAAAAATATGTGCGTGTTATTAGATACGCTCAAGGTTAACAAACTGCTAATCTATGCACAATCCTAAACTCAACTAACTACTGTCTAACCACGCTAGCGAGAGCAGTTTGGCTGAGGGCCAAGATGGGTCTCAGTTTAATTGAAGGGGTGTGTGGGCGAAAAGCACGGGTATTTTTCCCTCTCGAAGGTCAAAGGGGTGTGGGTGAAATCGAAGGTCAGGCTACTGCACTCACCCCTACATAACTGATAGATGTGCCCACTTCCGCCCCAAACCGGATGTTTACACAGATCTGGAATACGTGGTCAGACAGTACTTGCTGTATATCGCCGTTTGAGAAGAGTAAGTAAATCGCTCTGGCTATCATACATTTACATTAGTCCAGCGAGGGCGCATTAAAAATTGATCTGGGGCGCCATGGCGCCCGCGGGTGCCGCGTTGCCTACCCCTGTTCTAGACAGTTCAATTTACTTTAAAATTCCATTAACACTTTTCAGTTTTCCAATTAAACTCCACTGGGTGTTAGTTCTTGCTGGTTTTTTTATAAGTTTATTCCTATTTCTAATTGTAACCTGCAAAATTGCGGATGGAATTCATCAGTTCCAATATCATCATCTTTCTAAACTAAATAAAGTAAAACTAGATATCTATAGAAAAGTACCTTATATCAGAAAAATATGCATTTGCTAGAACAAAAAACATCTGGCACTTTACCAAGTAAAATTGCTCACTTCGTAGAAATAGCTTCTAGTGGAAACAAAGCATATTTTTGACTTCCTACTTGCAACCCTATTACCAAATTTTAAGCTTTCTTATTGATTCTCTATTTTACCATAAATCGTAACATATAGAGAATTAGAAGACAAAACAAAGGTTGATTTTACAATCTTTGATGAAATATCTTTAAACAGATTAACATCCTTGATTGCAAAGCGTGAATTAATGGAATTCTGTAACGCAAAGTTGTCTTAAGAACATGGAATAATGGCAAAATGGAGCATACAAAAAAGCAAAAAGCTTTCTTCACAAAATAAGCTAACATTAATTGGAAAACGTTTTCCTTGCCGAGCATTTTAAAAAAATTTTGAAAGAACTTCGAATTAGCTTTATGCTTATATTTTGTAATATTATTTTTAGAACTACCAATAAGTTGCTCACAGTAGCGGAAATTACTTAATTTTTCTCACACCTATTTTTAATAATGGAAGTAGTAACTACTCCATTCACTTAAGGTATTTTATAACTTTCAAAACAGCCTTTTATCTTAACTCAAGCATTTACTTCCTGTTTAAAAAATGCAAACAGTGGGTTCCATAGGTCGGGAAATCTAGATAAGCATTTCTCTAAAGATAACCAGCATGTATATACATGTTTCAAAATTTACCTTCCTTTCAGAATTCTTTTCAAGATAATAATAAATATCAACAAGGCATTCATCCATACTAATTGGTAAAGAAGCTGCCTCTTTTTCAGCTGCTAAATTTAAGGGTGACAGGTGCAACTCATAATCTGCAAATCTGAATTTTCTTTTTTTAAGAAGGCTGGAATACCCGTCTTCAAGCTTTCCATTACTGGTGCATTATCGGTACCTAGTGATAAGCAATTAATCAGAGAAATTACATTTCCTTTAAAAGTTTTAATAATCAGCTGTACTATATTAAATCCTGCTTGATCTCCTTCTAAAGAGGAGAAAAAAATGCACTAACTCAATTTCTGAAGATTCTGGATTAAAAGAAAGAAACAACAATTAGATAATGTTTGGCATCAGTATTACTGCCTTCATCCGCAGAAAGGCAGAATGGAACTGTTTTAATGCAATCAATAACTGAAGAATTATTTTACATACCCATTACTTTAACAATTGCAGCCCCTTTTTATCTTTGCATTTGAATATTTTTTAGAAACTTCCCTATCAGGAAACATTTTTCGAAATAATGCTGCAGCATTATTAGATGCATTCAGTGGCCGGTGTTCCAGTAAAAAGGCTTTCTGCATTAATAAAGTTTTGGTCTTTTGTTTCCACAGAAAAATTTACTTTTCTGTCCCCCCCCCAATACAACTCATGATGTCCTTAAGTTTTTGTGTACACACATGCTTGAGAACATCAGCCCTTTCATTGTTTGTAATCAAAAAGATGGCAAAGACAAACAAACAGTATACATCGCAAATGGTTTACACTTCTTTGACAAAATAATAGATGGAAAGTCATTTGTGAACAATTTTCGAAAAGTACATAAGTATTTTATTTTATTTTTGGTAGACATAACTAAGATTGCAACTTCTCAAGAGCATGCAAAACTCACAGCGCTTAGCAAAACAGCATGTATGATCTTCAGCTCAGTGGCAAGACAAACAACCCTGATCTTGTGCACGTCGGCTAATATCTACCAGATGACCCCAAGCAGTATTTGATGCTCATTGGAAGAGAGCTGGAACACAACATTTTTGAACATATAATGCTCTTGCAATCAAAGTAGAAGTAAGCCATAATGTCTCATTGGCAAAACAACTTTGGTTTTCTTTTATATGTAACGCAGAGAAAAACCAAGCACTTCCAGAAGCCCAAAATCACTTATTTGGGTGCATATAATGAAGCATTAAGCCAAGCTACATAAAAATTGCAAGCAATTTTAAGAGAAAGTTGGGGGAAAATATGTTGTAAAGCAGGTTAGCAGAAGTAGAGTTGGAAATTGGAATCTTCGTGAATCAAAGGTCTGGGTATGCCAGATTCACCTTGAGATCATCATATTTACCTATTTGTCTAACATCAATAACATATTGCATACACCTTTGACATGGACTCATGTCATCACCACTACTACTACTATTATCTGCAAAACTCTTAGTATCTCAAAATATTTAGCTATCTATGAGTCATCAGTACCAGCATGCTTGGTTGTGAATGATCAGAGCTTTAAACATTTCTTGTGAAATAATATTCTGAATATAGTAGCTAGCGTACTGTTAAATTTCATTTAATAAACAGCTTTACATTGCTTACTATGTTCTTGCTGTGTCTTTGTATCCCTTCTGGCACCCATGTCTCTTATTTACATTGTCTAATCATGCTTTCTGAAGGGAATATGGTTCATATTAATAGTATGTATCTCCCTTCAGTGTCTGCATGTGGAGTTCTAAGATAACATATACAGTGTAGTTTTCCTTTTTTAATTATAGGCAATTTAGTTGATTATCCTAGCAAAGTGGAAGGGATGGACTAGTTAATACATTCAAAACCATGTTCATATGCCTGTACAGCTAATATAACGAATTATTTAAAAAAAGAAAAAGAAAAATAAGGGGAAAAAATCAGATTCTATTTCAATAACAAAAAATTACTTGCTTCAAAAATGATTAATAAATTATTTCTGTCAATATTTTCAAACTAGTACTGTACGCTTAAACTTGTAACTTTTTAAATAATTAAAATAAAAAGAGAAAAAAAGAAAGACAGCAGTTCATCAAACGATTTAAATAGTTACAGGTTATAAAATAAATACCTTATATTTGAGGAAGAACTATAGTTCACAGCAATTTTCTTTCTTGGACTACTTCTAACAGGCATATTATTAGTCTGACTCTTGTTGAGACTGTACTTCCCAGATAGCTTCTTTTCTAAAAATGTTTTTCTAGAGTTACTGCTAGTAGCACATTTCTTACTAACTGCAGAAGTTGAAAGAAGGTTCTTTCTAACTGTATCTGATGATAAGTCTTTATTTTTATAATTAGTTTTTTTAATTTTCTCTTTTTTACTAGAAGCATGATTCTTCATGGCAGAGCTCTTAGACAGAGAATTGCCTTTAGTTTTCACATTTATTTTTAAGTCTGGAACCAGCTGTTGGTTATTACATGTACTTGCAGTTTCATGTTGTACATAAAAATTCACCATCTGATTACCAATAGCTTCTTTCTCTTCAGCCTGGCTGTCACAGTTGTAACTAAAAAAAAAAGTATTGCATTATTCAGCTTTAACTGCTACCTTCCTTATCCGTTAAAAATACAAATACAAAATAGTGACAAGTATTTTTAACACAAATAGACTTCATTATCAAGCATCACTTTTCTAAGAAAACCTAAATCCTCTGAAATTGTAGCTAGACATTTTAGAGAAGATTTGCTGTACTTGAAATGCAATCAAAGTTGTTTGCATGCAGTTTACTAAAATTTTAGCTTAGCTCCCACAAATTATTTTATTCCAATTTATTTGCTTTTGCACAATTAAGATTTTAAAGCAAATTTAAATATTGATAACAGCAATATATGGAGAAAAAATTTTCTTTTGAAAAACTTTTTTTTTTTTTTTTTCTGCAGAAATAAATAAGAAACTGAAGGTTGGATAATTATTAAATATAAAATAACTATAAGCAGAAGTGGGGGGGGGGGAAGAGAAATTCAAGATGAAATTAAACAATGCAAAATAAATTCTTCTGCAAGCAATAATTTATTCAATCTCTCTCTCTCTATATATATATAGATATACACAGCAGCTGCAAAGCTGGTAATATAGGCATCCCAGAATCATATGAAGGATTTTTCTACATTTAGTGACCAGAAGCAGACTTCAACACCCCGTAACCAAGCAGAGCACACTTCCAATGTGATCAATCTAATAATGCTGCTTCCAAGCACCCACTTGAATCATATGACTAGGAGCAATCAATCAACCGCAAGAATTCTGGAATATCCCTTCCTACAGCCAATTGTAACCAGAAAACTATAACGATGAAGCAGCAAATTCTAGATATCTCAAAAGAAGTTCAAAGATGCCTCTCATCACTATCAAGGACTCAGGATTTAAATACAAAAACAATTTACGAATTTCAACCTTGAGTAGCACAAAACCAAAATGAAGTCTGACTTTGAATTTGAAATTAGTATTTAACAGTAACACTCATCAGAAATGACTGCCCTTCTGCAGAAAAACAGATTTTGCACCATCCCTATTTCCTTCCCCCCCCCTAAAAAAATGTTGTGATTAGAAGTTTGCCTTCCTACACACAGGCCAAAAGTATCCAGCATGAGCTTATTGTACTTAATCTCCAAGTTCTGAAAATCAATCACCAATCAAACGAAGGAGTCTTGAATGCATCAAGCTACCACTTTTTCTCATAATGTTTGAAAAAAGATTTTGCAAGGACTTGGAATTTCTCAGATTCCCTCTTTTAACTACTTAGAGTTTCTCATTCATCTCAAAATCAGTATGGAAACATTGTGGCCAACAAAGTCCAATAATCTCAGGTGACAAATGTTCCACCATGGCCTAGCAGCATTTTGGTTTGGTTTTATTTTATTATGGCAAAGCACACTAGAGTTATCTGCCTAAGGGAAGGAATGCCTTCATGGAGGACTTTCTAAGGAGAACTGGCTCGTATATATGTTACACATGGGGAAAAACCATGAAAACACCCATGCAGCCAGCCCATTCGCCTGGATTCGAACCCAGGTCGGAAGGGCCAGTGTTCAGCAATTTTATTGCTCAGCCACTGGCGGGCAGCAGCATTTTGACACAAGTTTAATTTCAATTCAAAAAATGTGCACTGGGGTTGCAACTACTCAAATGGCAACATATACCTAATTCACAGCTGTGTGCTTAATAATCCATTCTACATGCATATTCTAGAAGGAACCACCTACATATTGTGCATCTTAAATAGAAGATACAAAATACTTAACTTCTTCATTGCTACGGAGAACATCCCACTATACATTCACGTTGAAAAAGCCCTCACCTTGGTCCTCACCTGTTATTGTCAAGACCGGAGTTCCTAGCTTCAAAGATTCTCTGCCAAAAAAGATAACTGATTGAATGCTGTTTTGCACCACAACACACTTTACTCCACAAAAGAAAGCTTTATAATAAAGGAACGTCAAAACCACTGGTGACATCGACAGCCACTGGTAGACTCACTGAAAATTCACTAGAATTCAACTTTATCCTTCGCTAAAAAGTTCTCACATCGTCAGAGAAGCACATAGTCATTAAATTTCAAAATGTCTCAGCAAAATATCAACAAAGCTTAGAATCCTCAAATTAAAAAAGATATTAACCAGATGAGCAAGAAAATAAAACAAGACATCCAAATCTATAGATCTGAAAAGTGGAGTGGTACCACAGATAACCTTAACATAGAAGATAACAGCTTTTGGACCTTCATAAAAAAAAAAAAAAAAAAAAAAAACATATACCACCACACAGACACTACTCCTATCCAGACAGGGCAGAGAAAGGCTCTGTGTACACTAATCAAGAAAACCCCTCTATATATTTGCCAAACATTTGGAGCTACAATTTAAAAACAATGAATTTCTAGTGAAACCAAGCTCAGATGAGCACACCAAGGACTGAGTTCTGACCCGTTCAACTACAGTAGCTTCCAAAAATCAATAGTTCGGTTTATCTCTCCCACAGAAGTGAACAACATCATTAAATTTATCTCCTTAAGAAAAGCACCAAGAAGATACCCTGTGACCAATCCTGTGTTAAAGAACCTCCCAAACAGATTCATCGTGTGTATCTGCAATACCCTAAATGTTTGCCTGCGGAATCCTTACTTTCAGAAAAAATGGAAACATATGGTTATTTTCCCAAACTTCATAAATCCCCAGAGCTAATTACAAGTTCTTGAACATGCAACTGACAGATTCCAAAGCAAGATCCCAGCCATCAAGAATTGATGCAAAACTTGGAAGACTCACATAAGCCCCAACAAATCACAGGTACTGGTGATACTGAAATTCAAGTTAAAAAACCAAATCACTAAATACTTTAAGCTTCAGCCATTGCTCTAAAAAACTTCAAGACTTTCTCTAGTGAGGATGCAAAATATTTATATTTTCATCATCCGGCTAGTCTTAAATGCCTTTCCACCTCGGCTGCAGCACAGAATAATAATATACAAAAACTGCATATTATTTTTCTAAAAAATATTCTACAGCTCATAACAGGTGCAACATGGTTCATCAAGAACATAGGCTAATATTAAAGATGCCCTGGAAGCCATAAATGACAACTTCTTTTAGAAATTAAGACACAGTAACACGCCGAATAAATACTAATTCAGAAGTCAAACAACAAAAATCAGCGTTATATTTACCAAATTTTCACAGGACTAGTTTCGATGGTTTTACCGAACCACCATCTTCAGCTGCAAAACCGCAAATGAACCAGATAGGAAATAATGATTAGATAAGATAAGAAAGCCTGGACAAGAATAAGCAAGTGGCGCCATCTGTTGGTGAAACCAGAACTAAAACATAATTTCTTTAAAGGCCGAAGGCAAATTTGGATTGGAATTAGGATCGTTAACTAGAACAGAAAGATTTTTATGAATGTGAAATGCCTCTAGAAAATCCAGTTCTCCAATGGAAGATGTTTTTTGAATAATTTTGGCAGCAGAAAAACTGAAAGTGTGGTTTTCGGACCAACAATGTTGAGCAACAGAAGACCTCTGTGTTTCCTTTTTTCTAACATATGCCTCATGTTCCTTGACACGAAATCTTAGTTTGGCCAATGTAAATTAAACCACACTGGCAAGGAATCCTATAAATACCCCAGGAATTCATATCCGGAATGGGTCCTTGAGTATGGAACTCGGAATTTTATTGATGGGAGAATAAACAACCGGAAAGTTAAATTTCTGCAAAATATGTGCAACTTTATAGCTAATTGATGGAAAGAAGGGAATGACAACAGAATTTTTATAATCTCCTAAAACAAGAGCGTGCCTTTTAGTGTGTTGAGATGAGAATTTTTTTAACTGCTTGATTAATAATGTTGGGTGGAAAGCCCCTTTTAGAAAGTTTCTTTTAGAAAGTTAGGGACAACGACACTAACAGTTTTCCCAAGTTTTCAATTACAAGATCTTTCAAGCAAATTATCTGTTTAAACTGTTTGCAGCCCATCAGAACAGAAGCAACAGTCTGCTATTAATTATTTCTTCATCATCAACAGCTACTTTAATTTAATTACCAAGAATGCAATATTCTAAAGCTTACATTGCCCTTCTTTGCTACTGGACACTAATTTTCAAGAAATTTCTCCAAGCTTTTCCTGTCTCTGAATTGGCCTCAGCATTTATGAGGAACCAATGTTTTATTAAGCTACAAGCCCCAGATGTCCTGCCAATATGATTTTCTGACAGTCTGCCAAGCTCTTTCATAGCCTGCTAATAGATGAAACAAAAACTCTGACCTTCAGAAAAGAACTCTGAATGATTTCTGTGCTTGTAACTAAAGAATTTTAAGTACTTGTTGATATGTTTACAAAACTGGTAATCCTATTCTCAGCACAGCTTTTGCAAAGGCCTCCTCCCTCCTTTTCAGGATGACAATTTTATACTTTTCCATGACCAGAGAAGATGCCTCATCGTTACCTTCCCATGTCATTGCAGTTGGGACATTCAGTGCCTCTTTTCTTCTTTTATACCTGATACAACATAAGAACTCAATAATCGGGACTCTCAACATCAGGTTCCATACAGAATTACTTTGTGTGCTATCAGGAAAGAGTTGATATGTTGCAGTGGCTGAATGCCTGTTAACATCCAAGTATCAGGATAATATAGCCATAGAATATGCTGGTGAATATATTATATTCAGGAAAACATATATTTCTGTATGAGGTTCATGAATAAAAATTTTTCTGCAATTAATTAGAAATGCCATCATATCATAGAAATTTATACTGGCTTGTAATAAATGATTACAAAGAACACACTTTTTAGAATTAATGTAATCGGATTATAAAAAATATTAGAATATTTTCAATGAAAATGAATTAGAGAGAAATTTCTTTCTTTTAAATATTTGGCTAACACTACTAGCTCAGAATCAACCCTCACCAGCAAACTGTCTTCTGTCTTACTCAAACTGATCAATACATTCCTAACAAATCTCTTCTCATGGTATATCACTAGATGATATAAAGTCTCATGACACT